TATCGTAGGTGTGTTAACGATTTCAAAAAATACTCTTCAGGCAGGGTTCAAAAGCTAATCGATTTTATTTGCCGTTAAAATTTTGTAGGAAATTACTTATGTGTGACCAAATTCTTCTATTGTTACTTAAGTTCTAAATTCCTGTATTTAACTCTGTGAATTCTTTTCTCATTACAAATAATTTCCTATGTCCGATCCTAATTTTTACTAATTTTTATCAAATTTTACTTAATATTATGAATTATAATTCATAATCCATATTTTGATGGAATTAACGCTCTATGATAAATTTTAACTTTATTTTTAGCATTTTTGTTAATAATTTAATAACTCGCTTGCTCTTTAGGGCTTTTAGTTTCATGGAGTTATTATAGTTTTATTTCTTCGTGAACATTAAGAAAAGTCTTTTAACATATTATATTAATTTAAATTTTAGTTCTAATTTATTATATTGATTTAAACGTATAATAATGTAAATTAATTTATGAATCAGTTTGAAAAAATCTAGATTTACTTGTATTGGAATGGTTATGTATTTAGGACAATTATTTCGAATAATATCTATGTATGATTGATTAAGTAGTTAATATTTTTTGATAAATAGAGGTGTTGCTAAGAGATAGGTACATTAAACATAATTTTATTGGCATCATAACGCATTTAACGTGTAAAATTGGTTTCTATCAGTAATCTATTATATAAAAATGAGTCATTAATTTCTTACCGTTAGTAAATTGATTTGAATCAATTAATTTTACTTTTTCTTATAGTCGACGTCAATTTTATATAGAATATATGTAGTAGGTACACTAATAAAAACTTCCCAAATTTTCTATAGAGGCACAAACTTTACAAAAACTATAAGTCTATAAAAAAACTATAATTTATTTCTCAGCCTATAATCAGTTTTCCGAACAAAGACGAGGAGTGTGTTTATGTTTTGTATGTCCGCATTTTTTCGTCCACGTTTTCGGACGCACGGATTAACTGATTTGAATGGTTCAAAACACATTCGATTCCTATTGATAGGGAGATGTGCTGATTAATTTTTGGCAAAGGCAGGTCCAGCCATTTCGAGGATATAGAGCTAAATGTGCAAAAAATGGCAGTTTTTGAGAGAACTAAGTGTCCGCTTTGAATGATTTAAAGAACTTTCTGTTTGTTTTACCAAAATAATTGCTTTTAGAAAGAAAAATTCTGTTTCAAATATTTGTTTTAATTTTTTTTTAGTTTTTTGTTTGTATATCGAAAATAATTCAGATTTTAATTTTAATTTTGTCCTAATATACTTTAAACAAATCATTTCAACCTTGCAATTTGGTTTATATAATTCTTATAAATATTAGACAATGTTACAATATTTAAAAAAATCTATATGAAAACATTTAATATTTCACGATCTTTCACGTTACGGTTCGGGAAGTTCCAGTAATTTGCCTTAAGGCACGATGTCATGCACCCAACTAGTTTTGAATTATTTTTATGCAATTTGGAAACAGTGATAGATATTTATAGTGAATAAATATTTATTTTAATTTTATGATTTTTTTAATTTTTTTATACGGAGCTCACAAATTTCTCCTACGCTTCTGGTCTATAGTCAAGAGTTTTTCGTTTTTCTTTTACATTCAAAGTCAATTAGAATATAGTCTCTCAATAAAAGTTACAAAACTCAAAATTTCTTAAAAATCACTTGGTGCTCATTATATTCCAATTAGATTATTTTTGAACCTTGAATATTGTCATAAGTTAAATTTTTATAAAGAATTTGAATAAAATAAAAATAATATTAGTGAAAATAGGGGTTAGTTAATTTCAGTAAGTAAGCAATTTTAAGTTGGGTGTTCTGTAAGCTATAAAATATAAATTGCACTGATCCAAATATAAAAGACAATACAAGAAACCTACCAAATAATTATTTGGTTTCAAAAAAGTTAACTAAGTTAATTAGTTAAAAAGGTAACTAAAAATTAATTAATTAGTTTTGATCTACGATTGCAATTTGCATTTGATTCGAAGTTTTAAGTTCTTTATTTTTACCCTACTGCACAAGTTAACTTTTTTGACTCGTGTCAATTTTCTTGCGGAAATGCAATTTATCATATTAAATTGATTAAGAAGCCCTGGTAGGCTTTATCATTGCCAATAATGATAAATGAAGTACATACATACAGTTGTACCTTGAATCAGTTCCTACGTATAAGAGCGGTCTTTGCGCGCGCCAACTCCCATGGTCAATGCCTCTGGACCTCACTTTCATCCCAAGTGAAAGTGAAAACTCATTAAATTAGAAGTGGGTACACTTGTACATGAGATATAAAGATATGGTAAATGTAGACGTACGTAATGTATTTACGACGTTAAGGCATGCTCACAGAATTATCTTATTAATTTGTACATTTGAATGCTCAAAAGTGTTATAACTTAACAGTAGCAAAATAAGCGTTCAATCAAAATCTGATAACTGCAATAATACTCATACAAAAGTCATTTCGTTTTTTTTCTTAGATAATATTTTTTACAACTATCATAAGATGGCATAAAGGCTTAAAAATACGCATCGTCTGACCATTGACAGTAATTTTGTGATTGACAGAGATTAATACAGAGTGAACTTTCTTTCTATATTTTCATTTTATATTATGGAAGTCTGCAGCATACTATAGACTGATAGATTCTGTACAAAATGATTTGAAAAAGTTCGTAACATTTTAACCGACTTCATATTTTATATATCATAGTTACTGTACATTCAAAGTTCAAGTAGAAAACAACACTTTCAAAAAGCAGCAGAAGGATCCTTATTAGGGCCAATATCAGCAGTAATATACACGACCAGATAATGACCAACAATACGAATATCTTAACTTTACAGGATTTTTTTTCAGTTATTAACTTCCCGTATGGCAAGTTATAGTAATCGCAAAAAAATCGAAAATGAAAATTTTCATATATTTTCACGTTTCAGAGGTTTTTGAACATTTTGGCATATCTTAGAAAAAATGGATGTATGTGTGTGTGTGTGCGTGTAAGTACGTGTGTGCGGATACAAATTTTTGTCGACGATTTCGGGAACACGGATGAAGCGATTTGAATAATTCAAAAAACATAAGATTCCTATTGATAAGGAGACGTGCTGATTAGTTTTTGGCGAAGGCAGGTCTAGCCATTTCGAAGATACCGTTCAAAAAATGCCAAAAACGGTACCTCGGGTTTTAAGAGAACGGAGCGTCCGATTTTAATAATTCAAAAAACATTTTACTTGTATTGACAAGATGAAGAATTGATCAAATTTTCATGGAGGTAGGTCTAGCGGTTTCGGAGACCTAGTGAAAAAAGTAAAAAAAAAGCCATTTGGCGGTCAAAAATGATCATTAGATATATGTACATCAAATTATCAGATAATTTACAGAGATTTTAATAATAAGTATAAATTTTGTTTACATTCCTATGGGCTTCGTACCAATGTTTATCCGTTAGACGGCGACGCCGCGCTTTGACCTTTTGTCTCTATGCAGTTAAAGCAGTACGATTGTTTTGAAAAAAAGTTCAGAATTTCCAAAATATTTCCAAATATTTTTTTTTTCGAAAAGTTTTGTTTTCAAAAAAAAAAATTTTTTTTCAAAAATTTATAGTTTCTCAAAAATCTAATTTGTTCGAAGTAAATTTTTTTCAACAATGTTAATCTTTTTGAAAAAATATTAATTTTTGGTACGGGAATTTCCAGCAATTTGCCTTAAGGCACGATGCCATGCGCCCCACTAGTTTACATTAAGGTGACCATACATTGCGGGTTGGCCGGGACAGTCCTGGATTTGCATCTTGGGTCCGGGACAGTCCTGGATTTGCATCTTGGGTCCCAGATTTTTCTAAAACCAATGATTGTCCCGGATGTTACCGGTTTTTCAAAAATTTGTAGGTAATTTACCAAAAATTATAAAAACAAACGAACAAGTGCTATTATGCTAGGCTCAAAAGCGAATGCCGCCCCGGTTTTTGGTTTACAAAAATATTGTCACCTTATTTTCATTGATATCAATTACATAATTAACGATAGAAAGACGTACGGTTTGAAATTTTGAATATAATATTACCTACACCACTAGTTTTTAATCATATTAGATTATTAGTTCCTCATCAATATAATAAAGAAACGATCCTAATTTTTGATAATACTTTTTCTATTATTATTATATTGTAATATCCAATCTATTATGTTGGGTCGGGCGCAAATCACAAATATTGCATGAATAAAATTATAATTTAATTAAATTATAATTTTAATAAATCATTTTCAAATTCATAAAGTTTTGTATATTTTAATAATTCTATTTTTTTTTTAAATACATAAAACATTAAAAACATAAAATTTTAAAATAATATCAAAATTTAAAGAAAAATTATTGAATTTGAAAAATTTGAATCGTTTATTAAATTATATATTTTTTTTTTCAAGAGTAAACTTTATGAACACAGAATATATACATTGATTTTTAAATTAATCTATATAAAAATGTCAATTTTTATGTGTATGTTAAATACTCCAGTCATTAGTTTTAGGACATAACATAATGGCTGGATGTGAACCCTAAAAATCAGTGGGCATGTAGCAGGATCAATAACAATGCAAAGTTTTATAAATCTTTGAAATCAGATAAATTATTTTTTTCAATATGTCAGAACTTGAAAACTTACACACATTATTCAATATCTAATACATATCCATTTAACTGATAACATAGTTACCAATAGAAGTAAAAATGCAGTTGCATAATCTTCATTTTCGATTTTGTTCTATTTTAATCAGATATCCTTAAAGAAATTCCATTCAAATTCTTAGTTATATCATGGGTTTAATATCAAATTCCGAATTATTTTATTTCCAAGGCATTTTTATTTTAAAAAAAGATAAGATTTGGCTTTATAAACATTAATATATTTGAAAAATGATTTCTCTCAATGAAATTTAAAAATTTCTTAATAGTTTTAAAAAAATAAATTTATGAATCCCATTTCTTATACTCCATTCCATCTGGTGGACGAACCTCAACCTTCTCTTTGCCCACCTCGTTCCAATTTGTGCTCAGTACTGTACCACCTGATTCCATCTATAAAATAAATGATTTGTAATTAAATATTGTAACACATTATATAGAGATTGTATAATACATTATATCACTGCTTATATAATTATGCAATTATGCTTTATCAATGTTATACTTTTAGACAAAATTTATTCACTAATGATTCATTTTTACATTAGAGCAACTTTAGAATAGACCACTTACAAAACTTCAGCAGTGCTACCACCAAGTTTAAAGGTTACATTTTGCTCTCAATCAATTTTACTTCATAAATTGCTCGCTACTAAGATAATTCATTCAGCACAATTCCTCCATATTCCAAGGTAACAAATTTATATAAATAATTTGAAATATTTAGAAAATACAGCAATGTATATGTAATCAGTACAAAATATAACATCTTGACCATATATAAAAGTTTACTGAAGATTCCATTTTAATATAGTATTATTTACAAATATAAAATACTTACGAATGACTTGTTCATAGCTCTGCGAACATCTTCATTGCTTTCTCCATAAATTTTCTGGAACAAAGCATTCAGAGCAGCATCACCTTCAGGTTTCTCTTCTTCAAAGTCCCTTGCAATTTGTTCCCATTTCTCATTTGCTTTGGTAGGGTTGACTGGTTTTGGTAATTCTAAAAAAATGTTAAATTCACTTTAAATAAAAATTGTATTATTGTATCAAAAGCAAGGTATATGACAAATTTCATTGCTGATATACCTGCATCTGCTTCTAATTTTTCCCATCTTATGCCCATTGCTTTTACAAGTTTCACTTCTATTTTTGATGGAGTCACTTTATGTGTGCAATATATCGGCACTATGCCATTTAAGAGTCGAAAATCGAGTTCATTTTCTTCATACTTAACATGAAGCTAAAAAAATTTTTTTAATAAACTAGAACTAGTGAAATATAAAGTAAATCTATTGATAATAACTCCTTGTCGAAAATAGATATGATTTAAAATATCAAGGAACTTTAAGTTGTATTAATCAATTGTTTGATCAATTTATAGTTGTATATTTCATTCAAATAAAAGTAATTTCAGAGAAAATACTTTTTCAGTTCTTCCATTCTATGAGAGTTGTTATCCATAATATAGAAACAAAGCTTATTATAGCTTAAGTTATAAATCATATAAATTTTTTACAATTCCTTACTGTTCAGAACAATCACATTTTTAGAATCAAATGAGTAGCAATATATGTCTTTGTTATAAAACCTGTGTCAATTATATTTTTTAGAAAGTATTGATGTAGTACTTACAGATGTTGATCCATAATCAATCTTTAATTTTGATTCGTCCACGTTCTTTAACAAAATAGTGACAGTGACATCGGTTTCTGTTTGATACCAATCATGTCTTATTTTTGGTTTAGCCTATTCAAATAAATATATAATTCTAGTTAAATATATACACAGCATAAAGTATGTATAAAATGTATATGTATAAAAATGATGTATGTATCATTTAAATAGTGGGGCTCTTGTGTTGTATGAAACACATCAGAGTACATAATTATATAGCAATGCAATATTCATTTATGATTTTATGATTTTAATCATGTATAAACTATGTTTTAAAATTATATTAAATAAAAAATAATAATACTAATACAAATTTGGAATGAATTATCTATACAATAAACTATGACGTACCGCTATTTTTGTCTCAGTGCTAGAGTTTTGCTCTACACTCATTTCTTTTCCTATCAATATGATTAATTTATAGATTTAAATATTTATTTATATATACAAAGTTTATTTAAAAATAGAATCTACCTTAAATATGTCGTTTGTTTTTTATGACATATGTCAAATATGCGGATAAAAATAACAGCATATTCAGGATTTTTACCTTCATATAGAAGATTGGAAGGTTTGTAACAAAGATAAAACATGGTTGCCATATCGTAGGCGCTAAATTCAAATTATTTAAAATTTCATATTTGGTTATATATTGTACGTCTGTTTTATTTAATTGACTTTTTCAAGAAGTTTATGGTTTTTCGCCAAAATCTTGAATCGATTTTGAAATTTTGAAAAGGTAAGAATCATATGTGCATTTTTCAGTAATTAATTATTGAACAGTAAATTTTAGTTTGAAAATATATTATAACTCGCGAATAGTGGTTTAATTATAAAAGTTGATTAAAGTCTTATGTTCAAAATTTTAAAATTATGTCATGACTATTTAAATGTCGCTAAATTTAAAATCTTATTGATCAAGTTAATTATATACGCACATGTCGGCTTACATCAAGGCAAAATGCCACCTATACCTAGTATAATTGTAATTCTAGCAAAAAAATATCATTCTATAATAGTTAAACTTCAGTAGAAAAAATATAAAATTATGTCCTTTTTAAAAATGCGTTAATATACATACATTGTTCAACAAAAACGTATTAACTTTCCTTAGGGTAAGTTATAGTAATCGCAAAAAAATGAAAATAAAATATTTTAAATATCTTTATGTTTTAAAGGTTTCTGAACATTTTGTTATACATACTTTAGAAAAAAAAAGTTGTATATGTTTGTGTGTGTGTGCGGATACGGATTTTCGTCCGATTGGAAAATTCAAAAAGCATTCGATTCTTATTGATAATGATACGTGCTGATTAGTTTTTAGCAAAGGCAGGTCTAACCGTTTCAAAGATACGGGGCCAAAATTTCAAAAAATTCAAAATTCAATTCAAAAAATATTTTATTTGGATTTGACTAAACGAATAAGAACTGTTTAAATTTTTAGGAAGTCATGAGAGATACATCAAATTATCAGTTATTGTAATAATAACAAATTTCATTCGCATTTTTATAGTTTCCGTACCAGTGTTTATCCGTTTAAAAAGGTTAAAAATTTACAAAAAAAATCAAAATATAATAAATCATATTTTTTCAAAAAATTTAAAATTTTCAAAAATTTAATTTTTCAAAGTTTTCAAAAAGTATTATAAGCGTTTATAAAAATTTAAGTTTTTGGTACGGAAAGTTCCAACAATTAGCCTTATGGCACGATGCCATGCACCACTAGTTTTACATTATTTTTGACTTCTGGAAGTATTTGATTTGAAATATATTTAAGATTTTATTTAGTGTCTAAGAAAAAATATAGTTGCAGCACTTATTTATTTTAATATAAATTTCTTACATAAAAACAGCTATTTTGCCATGAAAATGGTTATAATTTTAAAAAATGGACAACAATAACGTGGGGAAAAGTACTGTACTGTATGCACTATAATAATACAGTCTGTATTATTTTCTACTATCTTTGAATGATTTAAAATTAAATTTACATTAAAAAAGTAACAGTTTTAATCAATATTATTTATTTTGTGCTTTACTGTTTTGTTTGCGGCATTATTTCTATGGCAACTGAATTGAAATTCATCTTGTAAAGAAACAAAGATTTTAACCTATATAACCTACATACATTTTTACTAGAATATTAACATTTAGAACATGTGCTTTTGAATTGGCTTTATTTTATATTTAATTTGTTGAATGACATTTCATATGACAAAACATCATGTTTTATAGCCATATCACGTACTATTTTAAATTATAGTTTTTTATTATTTTTGAGAACACAATCATAAATTTTATTTTATTATAATATATTTATTCAGTAAAATAATATGGAGTTATTTCGAGTGGATTATGCTCTGGTGGGTATGACCCATCCGCACACCATGATGTTGTTGCCACCAGCAAACGCCCAAATTAATGAAAAGCAAAAAATTGCAGTCGGGGGGCAAGATGGGGTCTTGCAAGTGTTTGGATTAAATAATGATGATATCGAGGTATGACATTCTTTAAGATTGTATAAAGTTAATACTAAAATTCAGTTGTTTATGCAAATGCAAGTCAATCCTTCATAACTCAATTCTATTGATTATTTTATCAGTCAGTTTAGCAGTCCTTTATAACTTAATTTTACTTTTGTTATTTTATTATACTAGCAGATCATTTCTGGATAGATTTATAAAAAAAATTATTAGAAATGTTTCAATTTAAATGTTATCGATCATTCACATACTTAAGATTGTACAAATTATTTTGCTAATATTTTATTAATTTATTAAAATCATTTGAAACACTATGCACTTATCAAAATCTTTTCTGAGCTAAACTGAAAATTCATAGTATCAAAAATAAAACGACAAGAAAAAAGAATCATTTTTATAAATGTCCAAATGCAGGATTAATTTTTTTTAAATATTATTTGGCCTCACTTACTCTGAGCATTTAGCCACCTTCAATAATTTATTTCACTTACATTTTATACTATTTTTTATATCATATTCAATATTATATATCCTATTCTATACTTTCATTCTTTTTTTCCTCAATCCAGATATTTCAATGTCTTTCAATTATTTCCTTCAATTTTGCCTTTTCATTCTTAATTCTATTCAACTCCAGCTTCCCTTTCATTTTATTTCTCATTCTTCTTCTAATCTCGCGAGTTATCATAATTTTCTTTTTTCAACTCAGCTATTCAAATTCTGTAGTTCTATTCTTACTAATTTTTATTCAAATTGCACTTGTCAAATAGAATTCCCAGTAACATGCGATATGGTCACAACATCGTGGCAATATTTATTTAGGTCGTGTGGACATGCGGTACCCATATTCATTTTCGTCGATATTTAATGGATACGGCCGCAAAATTTATGTAACTATCGAACAACTATCGAGGTTCGGTCTCTGGCGCACGGGCGTTCGTGATACATGAAAATCGACGTTGACCCACATATGTTTGTTTATTATGATAAGACCGTCTGACGTAAGGCGTTACCCCCAGTCATGACGTCATGGCGAATGAAAACGATTCGGTCATGACGTCATACAAAATGGCGACTCAGTTATGACGTAATAGCACCTGAAAGTGATGACGTAATGCAATTAATATTCTTTTCTGTACGAATAAGCATTTATTTACGTGAATAATAAGAATTTTACAATATTTAAATATTACAAATTAGAATTGTAGTTTAGAAATTATAAAATTTTAACATGAACTATACTAGAAAACTATTTACAAATTATTCAATCTTAACATATTAATAACAGTATATTTAATGAAAATTGTTGTATATCTAATGAACGTAATTCTATTTTTGGGGCGTGAAGTGTGAAGTGTTGCATAAATTCTATCGCCACTTTCCTTATACATCAAACAGCCTGCCTATTTTTCATTATTTCATTCTATTGCCAGTTCATTGCATCAAATGCCAGGATACAGATTATGCACATATGACATACTGCCCCCAAATTTTGGAAGTTTTCTAAAACAAATTCAAACATAATGTGATTTACTGTATATAATATAATATATATATACAGCTACCATATGTGTAGCTACCTACATGTTCAGTACAATCTCCATCATCTTAAAGTCGCTTTTACACATACATTTTTACACTGACTGATTTCATTCTATCGCCAGTTCCATGCGAGGATACAGGATATTCATATATGTTGTACTTCTTGGAAGTTTTCTAAACAATTTGAAACATAATGTGTTTTATTGAATCTAATAATATATATACCACTCCATATGTGTAGCAACTTACATATTCAGAGACAAATCTAAATCGTCTTCGAGTCGCTTTTGCCATACATTTTTTTTAACCTGATTGAATTCATTCTATCTTCAGTTCATTATACAATCAATACATCAATCAAGTTCATGCATATATGACATACTGTTCCCAATTTTAGAGGTTTTCTAAAACAATTATAAATATAATGTATTTGTTACCAAATAATATATATACAGCAAACTATATGAATCAACTTACATATAAAGAAGATAAATCTCCATTATCTTCAATTTGCTCCTAAACATACATTTTTGAGCCTGTCTAAAGATCTGTATATTGTTCATCGTTTCATTCCAATTTTGTACGACTTCTGAAAAAAATATGAACATGGCATACGTGTTTGCTGTTTATATATATTTGTATAGCTATTATATTTGTAGTGACTTACATATTCAAACAATCATTCTTGATCCGCTTCTCAACCGACTATTTAAGAGAATTAAGAAGTGAGGTTATGTCGAACACATGGATATGTTAATGTCTTAATTTAGTAAAATAATTATTTTAACCTTGCTAAAACGATCCTTATTATTGTCCTCAGATTTTGTAAGATATGCTATTTGGTTACCTCCTTTGTCATCTAAAGAAATCGACATAAAATAACGTTTCTTCATTCCAGGATATAATGCACTAATGGAATTCAAAATCGTGAAGTAATTACATATCTATATAAATAATATATGATATACTTACGGTGTCATTTTTCTACACTTTTCTACAATTATCACTATGAACAAGTTGCTTAACTAAACGAATGTAATTATTATACAAAAGAAAATATAACTTGATACATGACAAATTCCTGACATATTGCGCCATTTTGTATGCGGTTAGTTTAGCTTTCGTCAAAGGAACAGTCAAACCGCTTGAGTCGGTTCAGCCAGTGCCACGGCGCGCTGATGTAAAGCTTTCTTTGTATGGTCACACCACAC